AACCCTACAAGGTAATAGAATGGCATTTCCATTCACTAAACATCAGCACACAGAGGAGAAAGTATCACTTTTTTTTCCACTATTCAATTCAATTTTATTTATACAGCACCAAATCATAACAACAGTCGCCTCAAGGCGCTTTATATTGTAAGGTAGACCCTACAATAATACATGAGAAAAACCCAACAATCATATGACCCCCTATGAGCAAGCACTTTAGCGACAGTGGGAAGGAAAAACTCCCTTTTAACAGGAAGAAACCTCCATCTAAACCAGGCTCAGGGAGGGGCGGGGCCATCTGCTGCAACTGGTTGGGGAGATTCACATCTGTTGTGCCATGAACCGACACAACAGATGTGAATCTGAAGATCTCAAATGCATGAATGTTGTCTGGTGCAGTGAATTTGTATCTACCATTCAGAAAGCACGCTACGTTGCAGCTATTAGGAGAGATCAACGCTGGCACCAAGAAACAGAGATGAGACAGAACCTTGTTGAGGGTCACGGCGGGACACATTTAGCCATAAATCTGATTATCCTCCACACGTAAAAATGTGAATATGAACACATGTAAACACGCTAATTGGGGTAAGCCTTACTCTGATTATTGACTATAATCCCATCATTACGTGCACGTTAACACAGCTTTTGACCTTTTTATAACAGAAAACAAGTATATCACCTAAAGATTTTATACAAGATTAACATTCTCCACATGACAGTCATTCCGTTCTCTGTTCACAATAATATTAACTCGTGAAAAAAAGAATTACTTGAGTCAACCATTTAAAATAACGTGCATACATATATCAGACATCAAAGCCTTTCATATCCAACACTGAGGCTGGTCATCTTTTTGAGTATTAAACGACAGCAGCCACAAACTGAAACATCTGCCTGTACAGCAGCTAAATCATCCACTATTCTCACTAGGCAGTACCAAGTGTATGGTACCTGATTATAAATAGTAAGAATGGACCAAACCAGTAAAGACAAAGATTAAAAATGCTGCAATGCAATGCACAGTCTAGGTTTTATTAGGAGCAGTTTTGTTCCTTATTCATGACGCCATGATTATGAACAAATATTGATTTTTGCTGCTTTAAATAACACTAAATACACTCAGGTCTAAAATCTTGCGTTATTCAATAAACTGCACCATTCCTCCATGTGCACAACTTTGCTTCCTCTTGTGATTTGCAATCAACTTTGATTTGAATCTTTATTGTGTAAAAACAGCAGTTTTCAGCCTTTGTAGTACAACGGTTTAATGGGTCACTAATCAATTTCCCTTCTAATGGACGGGAAGCTTATCTTATGCAGAACTACTGGGTCAGCAGCGCTTACAAACAACTGTTCTGCAGCAGTCCCCATGCGTTCCGATCACCGTTGCATCGGTCTGCATATTTAACATTCCCTTACATTTTTTCTTCATGATGATCTCTGTGAATGCTTGCATATGTTTTCTCCACTGCAGCTCCATACTCCCTGCAGGGTTTGTTTGCTGTGAGCTGCAGCTCCGCTGGTGAGCGGTGCACACTGAAGGTAAGATAAGTACACTGGGAACAACAGGCCTACTATTCCCTTTTTGCTTAGTGGTGCCCTGATCTAACCCCTGCCAGAGCATCCACCCACTGTAAACTCCAAAACAACTCCTAAGACAACAAGACTGGGGGAAGGAGATTCAGACGGGTGAAAAAAGGGCACCAGGCAGAGAAGATGATGGCAGACAAGTAAAAGGTATTTGAGGGCAACGGCATGTTCTCACCTGGCTGGAAGCCTGTAGGATCTTGGAGCGGAAAGGCACGGTGGCACACAGCAAACACAGCAACCAAAAGATGAAGAGGACCCCCGAGGACTGGACCCCGCGTAACCTCTCAAACTGGATCAGAAATGTAGCCAACAGCTGAGAGGGAAGGGAGGGGTGGGGGTGAGACACAGAGAGAGGAAAAAGAATTGGGAAGGGGTGAGGGGCAGAGGGAGAGACGGTATTAGATTAGCCATGACAGAATAACTGAGGGCATGTGAGGTAAACCGCACACAAACTGGGTCAGTGTTTCAACTTTGGGTTAGATATGCTCCTCGTGGAACCGCAGCACTCAGGGCAGTTTACTTCAGGAGGAGCGCTTCACTGTTTTCCTATCTGGCTTTTCAGTCAGTCTGCTACATTATTTCTGGTGATGGAGAGGTAAAGACAGACTTTTTAAAAAGACAGTGAGATCAAACTGGTGCTAATTACCACTTTAAGTACTGTCTTTAAATTAAGAGTGAACTTGCTTTTCATCCTCTGTTATATTATAGACTTTTTCAGAGGTGGATCCTTATATCAAACATGCTCAAAATTTAAAATAATAACATCAGAGCTCCACCTACCTACTGTTCAAATCTTCTGTTTTCAAGGGGCAGCCAATCAGAAGAGAGTTGGCTTACAGGGAGAAAACTAAAACAGCTGATTTCAGACAGATGATGAACTCAGAGGCTGCACCAAGTCGCAGTGTAACGTAAATAAGTATTTAAGCTATTAATGAGCAAATGAACTCTGATAGAATCCAATAAGCTGCATGCTCCTTTGAGGATGTCCTCATTCAGGACATTCGGTACACTTACTCATTCTTGTTATCCTACTTTCTAGTCCGCCTACAGGAGTTATGCACAGCCGGTGTCCTTTTAGTGCAGTAGCTACACAGACAGTGAATTGGAAAGTGCATCTGCATCCATACATCTTCTCATTCACCCTTTAATAATGAAATTTTGGATCCTAGTAGACTATTGCACATTTCCAGATGTAAAAAGCATGTTAGGACTGCAATGCTGTCCATACAAGCAGCCTTTTCTTTTTCTTAGCCGATGTGACTCACCTGTGTTTAGCAAGTAATCTTTTCCTTTTTCCTGTCTAAATTTAGTCTGTCAAGCAAATATTGGTAAATATTTATCACAGGATAAAAAAAGGCACAAAGGTCATAAAGACTCATGAACATCTACACCAAAAAACGTGCTAAAGTTTCAGAGGATGAGCAAAGTCATTATTAAAATGTTCTGCAGCAGTCGATTTCTTTTGTAAGGATTTTTCTGCCTTTATTAAATTCTTTCACCTCAAATCAACAAGGCCAGCTCTTTAAACCTCACAGCTACATTATTTTCACCATTCAGGATTTTTTTTCCCATTGCAGACCGAAAACCTCAATGTCTTTGATTTAAAAGATTCTCTCATCTTTTCAGTCCACTTTTAAATCCAAAACTTTTTTTCCTTTTCATTTCCTGCTGCTGCGTGACGTTTTTCATTTCAGTGCTTCCTGTCTAATTTTACTTTGGGCAACTATTGCAGTGTGCATGTCCGACTTTTAGACAGGGGTGGTTATAAAGGATTTCATCACCTTTTCCATCAGAAAACTTTCTCTAAACAGTAAATTTATGCCAACAATAACAACAGAAGTGATGGAACATTCCACTGCTGTGGAGGGGGAGACGAAATACAATTTTCCTGCCTAAGAGGAACCTGGAAAAAATACAGTATCACTATTTACACAGTATCTGGCCTCAGGTCTGTAGCACTGGCCTGGTTAATGGATTTGTTTGGAGAAAGGAAAATAAAAAGAGTGCCTATGACTTTTCTCCTTTTACTGCCTTAAAGAAACTGTTTCAGATTTGTTTTTACTTACTGGAAAAGAACTGTTTTGATTTGGAATAAGACATGTGACATTTGAAATTGCAACAACTTCACGATGGTGTAAACTGTTTATCACAAGACTGCCAGCTGTATCCAGTGTGACAAGGACATTTCTGCACATGTATCCAGTGTGACAAGGACAAGGACAAGGACATTTCTGCACATGTGCATGCACATGTGCAGAAATGTACCAGAGTACCTTCACTTCTGCATCTCGGTTTATTCGGTCCAATCTTAGATAACTGCATCTGAGCACTTATCACACTGATGGATGCATTTTGTTTTTAACAGTTTGGGATTTAAAGAGGTAACATCAACAGTCTAACAGATCGGTCATTTACTGGACATTAACAACATTAAACCACATGGGAAAATGTACATTGCCTGAACAATATATATTTTTGACATTTCATAAACAACAAACTGTATCTTTTAATAAAGCACATGAGTTAGTAAACTAATCAGGTATTGAAAACCCAACTCAATGCCCACTCCTCCAGTCTGTCTTGATTTGTGGCTCAAATGAAAGCACTACTGGGATACTGATTAGCTCCAAATGAGCTAAAAATTGCACCA